TTTAGGTGAATCATCAGATGACGTCAATAAATGAATTAACTCAGGAACAATAGATGTATTTATGTTCTTTTAAACAAACTTCCAAGCACAGCAAATGATTTTTATAATAAAATCGAAAAGACAATTATGGGCGTGCTCTTTAATTACATTATTAAAGTTCCAAGTTATCTCAATTATAGGACGCTCGTGTTGCTTTCTTAAATTCTTTTTTTGAGGGAAAGAGGGGTTATTGAACGTGGATATAGACAGCTGAACAGCCAAGCTTGTTCAGGATCTGCACGAGAAGCGAATCTGTTACCGCCCAGCATTCTTTAAACATTGATAATTTTTCTATTGCTGCAAATTTTGCAGTGAACTACGATAGGCAGAGTTGAAATTAAACTTAAAGCAGTATCTCGCCATCTATATATAAAAAAATATAACAATTTAGAGCAATATTTTTTCGAATAAAACGACATTTCTACTGTCTTTATTACGATTTCTACTGCCATTATTTTTTTCAATAAACTACCTTCTTAAGCAATATGGAAGAAAATTTCGTTCTTAAAAGTTTTGAAATTAATACCAGGGGCATCCTCAATTTATAAAAGGAGCTTTTGTTTGACACTTTAAAAAAATGTGAACACATACTTATGGATAAAATAATTTGTACCTCTTAGAGCCGCATGTAAATCCATTTAGATAAAAACACTGATAAAGTTTTAAGCAATCTCCCTCAAAGATACTGAACTATACATAGCGATCTATTATACCAAAATTTTCTTTTTTTTTACTTCGTGTGTCACACTTATTGTTATTCTCCAAATATTAGTAGTTATATTTATCTTTCAATTTATTCAATTTTCCAATCGCGTAGGGTTTTAGCCTCCAGATTTTACTTTATTTATCTATCATCATCAAATTGCTTTACAGAGTATCAGAATATTAATTTCAAAATGTATAAATCTGTTAATAAAATATTAAATATTTTGCTACATAGCTCTTTCTCTATGGGAGCTGTGACCCATAGTTTCAAATCTTGTTGTTACTGATATGGATCTGACACGTTTCAGCCAAGGATTCTATTAGAGTCTTGGAAGTTTGTCCCTAGTAACTTTTCGTACGTTCTTTTGGTCGTGAAGAGCGGCTTTGTGGTCGTATTATTAATAGGGACGTCGTCTTTTTGGAGAGAATTCCTTGCTTTGACACGGCGGTGGAATCCTGGAGACAGCTTTGAAAAAATATAGATCACAGCATTCATGGTCTCAAGGTTTCCTCGGCAATCTTCAGTTTGTCTTCACTAAACTGCCCATCATCTCTTCACCAAATGTCTCATAGAAAATTAGGAATTAATATACAGAGTAGTAAAATATTAATATTAAAACTTGGTTAGATGCAGTCATGGTGGCCACAGTGGTCAGAGTGTGTACAGGCGTGAATGGGATTGCACAAAAGGACGAGGTATGTTGGATGTCACCTAGAGAGCGGCTGGGCGCCCGTCATGGAGGATCTGATCTATTCTAGTGTCAGAGAGGAACTTTCTGTAATTCGTTTATGTTTTTCGGACCGACGGTGTAATCGGAGATCTTTCTCCTGTCTGGGCGCCGGCTGTCACTCAATCTAATTTTTAATTCCGTTTAGTATTACATGATGGCCAAACTGGCGAGATCGATTATGTCTACAGTTTCGGTTGTTACACTATAACTATATTACATATGGGAATATAAGTATATATTGAAATATATTATAACATATATTCTGCTATATAATATTAAGTAATAGATGGAAATATTTCCGGGAGGAAATTGATCTATAAAAATAAAGCCACTTTCCCGTCAAAATTGATGCTAAACAGGCTAACGCCTGAACTGATGAGGGCCATTAGCCCGAACCCATGTTCTTCAGGTGGGCACTTCTCAATTTTACAAAGTTGGTTTGTGGCTTTGTCACCTACCCGAGTTCGCTAGTTTGCGGAGACGGTCAATAGACGGTCATTAGCATCTATTTTGACGGAAGAGGCAATCTATATTCTTTTATATCTATATAAATTAATACAAACAATAACGCGCCATCTCGCGTATATAACAAATAAAAACATTCGTGTCTTGATGTTTTCATTTGTTATATATAGATGGCGCATTATTGCTTTGTATTAATTTATGCCTAACTGGCCTTGTCCTTATTGTTTGCGGAAGAGCATTTCTCGATGCATATATTTAAATGTAATTCTACTGTCCTAAAAGCTTATGTCCATAGTTTGCTTAAATACCATTTCTAAGATTCCGCCCTTCAGTGTAACATATAAATGCAGAATGATCCAATACAGTATTAGAGCTCTAAAGAAGCGGTCTGGTGGATTAAAAATTGGTAAAACCGCTGGAAGGGTTCACCACTGATGAGCCAAGCCCTCCCACTATTTTTCCATCGCAGTAAGGACAGTAGAAGTTTGATTTATCTGTGAAAATAAACATTCGGGTCTAAATGTTTCATTTGTTATAGCTATATAGAATTAGAAATAATGATACAGTTTACGATCGGTTTCACAGACTCTTGTAAAAGGTGTGTCATGCCTGGCATAGCCTCACGGCACAGTGCATTGGACCAGCGGTCGAATGGGAATCATAAAGACACCCAACTATTTATTGCTATGAAACTGCGTGGACTCGGCGACGTGCACAGCCATTCCGCGTGACACTCCATAAGTAAAAACAACCCAACTCTAAAATGCAATTACCTTTTATTTAAAAGCCTGGACGGGCTTTCCCGCTCTTCATGGCACCCTGGAGGTTTGACTCAGATCGTATTCTCGGCATATTTGCATATCAAATGTTTTTTGTGAACAGCTATTTGCATAATGAAGCCTTCACCTACAGGTCAGTTGGTATTTAAAACTATTCACTTTGCCAGCTTCAGTGATGATTGAAGTGAAGATTGAAAACTGAATCGTCGGTTTTTCTCCAGAATATTTAGCTTTTAGGACTTTGTTCATTCAAACCTGTCAAGATAAATAGAAAAACTCTTTTAAAACAATGTTATTGATTTGATAATCGATGTATTTTGATATGATAAAAGTAAATTTTTACTTTGCGGTGTTTCAGCTCTGGATCTTCCACTGCGGCTAATCATTTCCTGTTTTGCCGTGTTTAAAATGTTAAATAATTTGTTTTATTTGGGATCCATTTGTATTGTTCAGAGATTTTATCTTTTTTTACCATAGACTGGTAGTTGGCAGTATTCTTATCCCCTCAATGCTTCCTTTCCAAGGCCAGTCTTTTAATAACATTATATGAACCTCGAATTCTTCACATCAAGGAACATAACTATGTCTACAGGAGAATAGTCAATCTAGAGCAAATATCCTACATCTGTTATAACCAACCGTAACTAAGGTAGGTTCCGCACTCCCGTGTTCACTCTTAGATTTATATTTGTCCGTTGAATAACGAGAACTCGAGGGCTTGAGAAGTTTTTGATAATAAACAAACTTATTACGAAAGTGAAAATAGAACAAATATCATATTGTATGTGTAATGGGATAAGGTGCATAAATTGAGAAAGAAAAAAAGGCATCTCCTTATCGTGAAAATGAAAGTTGCTGATGGCTTGAGCTGTCAAATTAATTTGACAAACATTTTTAGTTTTTTTTTTTTCTGATCAGGTTTTAGAGGGAAGAATGTTGTCTTCGTTCGTTAGTGAACCAATCTCTCACGCCTTCTCATTAGACGAATGTGGCCATGTTTGTATATAGAGGGGACGAGGGGAATGCGGGGAGAACAGAGAGGGTGCGTGGATAATCTGTGTGGAGCCACGAAAAGTGGTTTTTCTACTGGCGGTTTTCCCTGTCTGGCTGTTCTCTTGGCATCCCTGTGTCCCCAGTCCGATCCCTCCCAACGCTACAATAAAGCTAAGTATTTTTTTTTATTTTATTTAACAAATCGTGAGTTGTTTTTATCTCCCTTTTGTTGTTAGTGTTGTATTCTTGAGTGTACGCTTTTCTGTGTATTAAGGTACTTTAATTTAGGCCCTAGCTTATTCCATTTTTTTGAGTGTTAAATCCGCAAAAGTAATAACTTTTGTCAGAGCCATCTATCGGAATAAATATCAACTATTCGTTGATTTGTTAAAACGCATACTTGGTTAGCGTGATTAATCGAAAATTTGGCCAATTCTGGAATAATTAAAATCCACGAATAGTTGATATTTATTCCGATAGATAGCACAAGCCATCAGCAACTTTCAGTCGCACGATAAGAAGATGCCTTTGTTTCTTTCTTAATTTATTACGAAAGGTTTAATCTCTATTTAATAGGGTCTTCTCCCGAAATCTTCCATGAATTTCATTCTCGGCTTTTCTCTTCACTGCTCATACCATTCCTTACCTCCCTGATACCGTTGATTACTCCAAGTGCCGGGCAAGATGTTTCAACAAAGCGTTTCGATTCGCATTTCAACCTTATTTTGTACTTAATTTTTCGAATATGCAAAATTTTGTTGAAAATTCTTAACTTCATTTTGAATAATTAGGTTTTAATGCTATCTTACTCAATTTTATTGTGTGTTTTCAGCTCAAAAAATAATTTTATAAAAATATATACTTTTTTTATGCGCTCAATTTTTTTCCCTAAACTTTGCAGCTTAAAAAGATGTCAAGTGTTATGACTTACACATTTTGACGCTACTTTTATAACGAAAATTCATTTATACAGAGATTATATACTGCAATGATATAAAATGAAAAATGGGAGGCCATGGTTAGCTCTCTCAGTGGTTTGTCCAGTTTCACTCCAGGCCCCTCAATTATTGTTATTTATTTAGTTCCTGGAACGTCACGTACAGAAGTCACCGACTACCCGGACTGTCCATCTGACCTGAATCTTATTACTTTTATTTACTCTCTATATACTATTGAATTAAACCGAATTTCTTATATATATATACTAGCCGAATGACCCGGGCAACGCCCGTGTTTTACCCGATTGAATGTTTTGATTCAAATACTATTTGTTACAATTATAAATTGTGGTCATGTGGCCTAGTGGTCATGGCATCTGCCCGGTAAGCGGAAGGTCGTGGGTTCGATTCCCATCTCTTGACACTTTTTTTATTTTATCCATTCTGACCAAAATCTATCCGTGAACTTCACACAGTGAACTTCACACAGACAGAATAAGGCAATTATATAAGTAGATATACGTCCAGGGTAGCCTAGTGGACATGGCACCTGCCCGGTAAGCAGAAAGTTGTGGGTTCGATTCCCGCCCCTGGACACTTTTATTTTTCCGTTCGTCATTACTCTTCACAATTCATCCTATCATACTTCATCCTTAAAGTTAGAAATAGTCGCTATTTCTCTTTAAAAATAAATTTCGATTTTTGTATAAAAGAAACATTCGCGGTATAATTGCAATTTTCGTTTTACAATCATCAGCCGCGTTATATTGTATTTTAGATATACATCTTATATGCGAGAACTGGAAAACTAGATGTTCAGGAAAAAGGTCTCTTTATTAATGTGCTGTAAGCTCTCGATCAAATTTTTCTCTTCAACGGGCAAATCCAAAAACAAATAGAGATTTTATCAGGCGTAGATCAGACTATATTTCAGCTAAATATAAATAGACAATAAAATAGGTTGAAAAATATATAGGAAAAATTTACATAGTTTTTTTTTATAAGTAACACCTTAAAATATATATTTTTTTTTAAATGAAGAAGCTCTTTGCCCAAAAAGCTAGTTTTTCTTTTTCAATATTATAAATCTATTAAGAAATATGCGAAAATGATATTTTAAGGAAACTATGGAAGTTGAAAACTTCTCGGACTCCATATTAGACTCCTTTTAGTAACAATTATCAACAATAGATAGCGTTGAGATGATATTCAAATTTTAACAGATGAATTCTTCCGTTTAACTACATGTGGACAGAGCTGTGTAGAACAGAAACAAAATCGTTATTGAAGGCATCTTATAAAGCAACAAATAATATAAAAAGAACCATCACTAGAGAATGTTTGCCAATGCTAGTTTGAAATATACAAATGGTCAAACAGTCTAGGCCATGGAGGGCAGGGTTCCCGGCTTTAGGTTCCGAAGAAAGTGCCGGGGCGGGTTCCTCCATTTATGGCACCTGGAGACTGCGGCTTCACTCCGCCGCTCCTTCCGAAACTTGTCCTGTCTTGGGTCCTACTTGCGGGCAGGTAAGTCTTAATATACTACTTGTACATACAGTAGAACCTCCCTGTAAAGGACAACACTTAATTGCAGAGCCAAAGTGTCTTTTAGGGAGAGGTGTCTTCTTACCAAAGAGTTTCAAAATAGTAAAAATCATAATTTTGCAAATGAAAACTGTCTTTTGTAGAGAGGTGTCCTATAGCGTGAGTGTCCACTTATGAAGACTGTTCTACTGTATATTTTTCACTTTGATCTTAGCCAAATATCTGTGTGATAGAGGTGTAGATGATGTGAAGAAAGTGTAGATACTGTGTGATGTGTCTCACAAGGAACGACCATATCCGTGAGTTGATAGGACCATCTGAGGGTGGCTATCAGCCTAGATGGAAGCAAATCAGCATAAAGCTCAGATGTAAGATCATAAGCTGACATTACAGCACCAATATTTGGAGGAATGTGTTCCTTATCTCAGCCACGTTGTTACGTCGAGAGAGCGAACACAATTATGTGGCCAACAATTCTACATTAGAACCTCACATATAACTGTTAGAATTGAAATTATATCAATGATAAAATTTATAACACTTCTATTATTCAAAATTTATATATAAATACAAACTTATATATGCGGGAAATAGTACAAAAGTGTAATTTTACTGAGATCAGGTGGATAAACTAAGGCATCTCCTGAACGTGCAACTAAAAGTTGCTGATGGCTTGCGTCATCTGTCGGAAAAAATATCAACTATTCGTTGATTTTAGTTATTCCAGAATTGGTTAATTACCCATACTTGATTAATCAAGAAAAGCTAAACAAGTAGGCGTTTCGGTTAGATTTGTTTTGATTAATCAAGAAAGCGTATTTGTCCAATTCTGGAATAATTAAAAATCAACGATTATTTAATACTTATTCCAACAACAGCTTTCAGTTTCACGATCAGAAGATGCCTTTTTCTACGTACTTATAAATATTAGATAGAGAATGCTCCAATGGCCCCCGATTCTTGCAAAAGTCCAACCCCACCAGTGAGTGCAAGTAACCAAACGGGGCTCTGGCATTTGTAAGTGCAAAATCGAACTGCTTTTCACATGTGTAGACATGTGGTGCGCTTACAGTAAAAGCAGTCGCTAACTACCCACCATGATTATCATGGCCTGTACCACGTGTACTAGGGATAAGCAAAAAAAAAGATAGAGAATAATGATATATAGAAATGCTATCTTTTTTATTTATGTTTTAGAAGGCATACCATTTCTATGTGTGATATGCTTTTATCCCTAGACATAAATTTGTCTTTTTTTGCCCTGGTTTCACATTTATATAAAGAAATATTGAGTAAAATTAATCAGGTCTCCAAGGAAAAGTGTCTTTTCAAAACTTTTTTTTATTATCTAGCTTTCGGGCACGGTCGCCCTTCTACAGGAGAAAACCTGGTATAATGATAAGAAGCATACAAAGATATCCCGTGTGTCACACAGACCTGATATCTTGGATGGATCTACCAAGTGGATGTGACCAACTGTCTAGAGAAATAGCCTGGAAACAAGCGCCGCTCAGACAATTCTGGATTTCCACTCCACCGACCCAATTTACCGGTAAGTAACTCTAGTGAATTTTTAAAAACGCGGCGGCAAAAATTGGCTAGACGGCCAGCGAATGGGATTACAAGTGGAAAGCGGCTTAAAGCCGGCGTTACAATCCAATTGCAGCCTGGGGGGACTTTATTACAACTTATTTCCATCTTGTAGAAAAAATGCCAGAAGTAGAGTATTCCGCATCTTTCAGCTGAGAGCCCTCAGGCACTAGCGGCTGATTCTTTAAACACACGCCTACACCAAATGACTATAAAATGATAATTCGCCGGCATTTAAATATTTTTAAACGTTTTACATCCATAATGTGATCATTCATATCACGCAAAAATAATTAACTTGAGCCAAATTCCATGTAGGTTCTTCAAAACCTTCTGGACATGGCACTTTCCATTAGTGTAGTGTAGCAGAGGCGTGTTGGAGCTATGGGAAATTTCGTGGGAGAAGGAAACAAAATGCTTTCCAGACTTTTTAGTAATCTTAATCGTTCAAATGAAAGAATAACAAATTGTGTTATGCTGTTTTTTAAACCAATGTCCATAGATTAATTAAAACACTAACCAAGTTGGTGGAAGAATAGTTTAAACTGTCAACAGCCATGACTCAGGATCCAATCCCGCATTAGGCACTTTTTCATTCAGAAAAAAAAAATATAATAATTCTTGTGCAAAAGTACAACTTACCAGGGAATTCACAAGTAACCAAAACGGGGCTATGGCACACTTGTAAGTGAAAAGGTCGAACCGATATGTAGACATGTAGTGCACTTACAGTAAATCAGTCGCTTTAATTATGCATCGTTCTTATGCACAATCAAAGGGAGTGGTGCCTCTTTTGGTACATTTATCTATATTTTTGAAAATAGAGAAATCCATAAATAAATCTTTAATTAAATAAGCATATATTGGATCAAAATATCATTTATATCATTATAATATCATTGGTAAAATAAATGATATTTTGATCCAATATATGTCTTTTTAATTAAAGATTTATCTATCTGTATGAAATTTTACGAGTACATAGAATATTGTTTGGAAAAATATTCACTTTTATAGTTTTGACCCCAGAATATGGGGGTTAGTTGATGAACTTAATGAACTTCTGTCATCATTGTTATAAATAATAATGATGATCAACATGTGCTTACAACACTATTTGTTGAACTAACTTGTACTCGGGCAGAACTCGGGGGGAGCCGAGTCATTCAGCTAGTTGCCGAATATGGCTGAATGGCCAATAATGAAGAGATTTTGTCGTTTGTTTATCAGAATACTATAAAAGGGCAGTAAACAGAACTTACATAGCTCCATATTTGTGTGTTGGGGGGGGAGGGACAAGGAAAAAAAAGAAATGGTCAGGTGTTAATATTAAAAACAAAATTGCCATTTCCTGACCGCTCACAATCGCTAATTCTAGAAATACGTCTTCTATTTGAAAAAGAAATAGGGCTGGATATCTCCATCTTCAATATATTGTCACGGATTTCCCTGTAAATAAGTATTAGGAATCACGCGAAAGGTATTTTTCTATTGAAAGTTTATTACTTCTTTTATATCGACAATTTTGGCTACTATTTACATAATAGTTATTATATGATAATTCACATGATGAATTGAAGATATATATGCAAATATTATACAGTGACAATATATATAAACACAAAATTGGCATTTCCTGACCGCTCACATGAGCATTTTAGATGGCAGAGCGCCATCTAGTGGAAGCCTCTGGGACCAAATATTTAGTCGTAGGTCTGCACCACGCCGACGAAAGCCAACAGCCCGAAACGTGTACGCGGTTGATTTTTGTTCCACTAGATGGCGCTCTGCCATCTAAAATGCTCATGTGAGCGGTCAGGAAATGCCAATTTTGTGTTTATATATATTGTCACTGTATAATATTTGCATATATATCTTCAATTCATCATGTGAATTATCATATAATAACTATTATGTAAATAGTAGCCAAAATTGTCGATATAAAAGAAGTAATAAACTTTCAATAGAAAACTACCGTTCGCGTGATTCCTAATACTTATTTACAGGGAAATCCGTGACAATATATTGAAGATGGAGATATCCAGCCCTATTTCTTTTTCAAATAGAAGACGTATTTCTAGAATTAGCGATTCGAATATTTAAAATATTTCGAAAAGCTTGGCTCATCACTAGTGAATCTGCCTAATAATTTCGACAATTCAATCTCCTAGATAGCCACAAAGATTTCACTGTTCATTTACAGCCGTCGGTTTCACAGCTCTTCCGCTTGAAGGCAACAGCAGGTTACTTCTTGTAATAGGTTCGTCTGCTGTAAAATTTGGAAATTGCTT